ATTTTTAATAAAAATGTTCACAAATTTCACTTAAAAAATTTTGTCTAAATCTATCTCATCGAAGTTAAGGTCTTGTACTCTAGTTTCCTAACTAATCTACTATTGGAAGAAGTTCTGAAGCTGGAAGGGAAAAAATTGAAATATTATAAGGTTATGGCTAATTACTACAATCCTCGACAAAGAAAAAAGAACAAATCTTTAACCCAAATGTTTTATTTACCTCTTTAAAAAAAATAAATTCTTGCAAGATTAAATTAATTTGATTTTTTGTACTTACAAAATTTTCTTCTCCAATTCTTCAAAGGCATAATCCTCTTTGTGTGTGTATATATATATATAAACACATTGAATGGAAGATGGATGGATCATTGCTCAATGATTGATGTGGAAAACATGAGAAATGGAATTCTAGGGAACCTTTAAAAAAACCCAAATAGAAACGACAAAACATTAGGAATGAAGGACAAGAAAATGAGGTAAATGTGATAAGGTGGAAAACAGAATGTGTTTCAAGATTCTTGTGAATGGGACTTCAATTTGATATTTCATGTCGATGTTTCTTTCTTTCTTTTTTTCTTAAATGACTTAATACATGAGAAATTAAATAAAAAAATACACAAGGAAAAAGTCAAAATAAGAAAGATAAAATACTCTCCTAAATGACAAACAACTTTAAAAAATGCATCCAGCATGTATCAAATCAGCCTTTCTTTTGGTACAACAATATAAAAAAATCTTCAAGGTTGTCTTCATTTTCTTACATTGGAATCCACTGCTTCCCTCTACAATAATAGGTCTAGGTTAAATTTAAATCATGACAAATACAATATTATTTTCTTAAAGTCATTTAAAATTAACTGATGTAACAATCAACGTGGAAGTGCCAAAAATTCACTGTCCCCATCTTCTTTTTTTCCATCCTTTTCTCTCTTTAGAAATGGTGACCTCTCAAAAGATTAAATGAATGGCAATCTATTTGGCCAGGAATTAAATGCTTATTCGTGAAGAGCAGTCCACTATAATTTTCTTACAAATCTGTCGCTGTTCAATTAATTGGATCCAAAGTTTCTATTGATTTGCCATCCCTTCCAATAGCTAGGATATTTCTCATTCTTTAACTGAACATTTTGACTGTATTATAGAAAGAGGGTGAATGTGCAAGCCAAATGTTCAAACCAAAATTTTCGTTTTAGGGTTTCATCTATTATGCTTTTCAAATAAGAATGCAAATGCAGCTTAGTAAAAAGAATTTGAATACGATATTTAATTCATATGATTTATATAATTATATTAAAATATAATATTTAATAAGTTTAAAATTTAAATCTTAATACTTATAATTCTTTTTTTCGTTCGTAACTATGCCTCCCTTGTACCAAAAATAAAGTAACATAAATCCCAAAGCACCGAGCTCTAATTCAGAAACTATGCTAAGGTGGGGTCGGCATGCCATCTTTGCTCAATATATGTACCAAAGAAGAAGGGGGTGACTTACCCAAGTTGTTAAGCTCATCTCCCTTTTGTTATTTGTCTCTTATTTTCAATTATTTTTTATTTTAAATCTTTTATTAAAAATAACAAATAACAAAAATATTAATCAAAAAGAAACTAGCGAATGTAATCGATGATATTTAACTTTTTTTCCTCTCTATCTTTGGTCGATGGATTCTATATTTTTGGACAAACAAGTGGGCCAGTTTATGTTGCATGTGAGTTATGGCTAGGCAAACAGAAGGAAAAGATGTAATATTAATTCATGTTGGGGGCTAGAGAGTAGAGAGGTTTAGATGTTAGCAATAAAAGCTGAAAATAGGGAAGAAGTTAAAAGCCGAGTCCACAATGTAGGTAAGCCTTTAATATGTTTGTGGCAACCCACCATTTTCATCTGCTTTCTCTCTTTGACTGCACTTCAATTTGAAGTTATGATTTCTGGACTTAGAGCTTCATTTATGATCAATTATACTTGCTCTGTATTAATCTTTTATTGTACAGTACCATTCTTGGCCACATGCCTTCATTTATTGTGTTCTTTCATGAGTTGTTCTTCTCTGTTACTTCCCCAAACTTTTGGACATCATCAATTCCATGCCCTCATGCAAATTTCCTTGTACCCTTTAAGTACCTGTAATTAAGATCAATTAAGATGTTATTTCAAAAAAATTTTTAATTAATGCATTATTCTTGTTAAATTCAAATTTTGACAATAAATTATTTATAATTTTTTTATAAAATCTTAATCGGTGCTTAACTGGTGCTTATAGATACCGGTTAATCATGTATTAAGAGTGTATGACATGATTTTACTTATTTATTATAGTGATTTAAATAATGGATTAATACCATTTTCACTTGAATTAATGTTGATATACAATGTAAAAGGTTTTGGTGAATTATTAATTAAAAATATATTATAGAATATTTTACTCTAGATTGGACTATAGTAAAACACTTACCATTAATTGCTTTTTAATGACATGTTAGCACTACATTTAAATACCTCTATAATCTGTATAAGGATTAAGGTGGAATTTGACACTATACTATGAATCAATATTGAATTTTGTCACTGTGCATCAATTTTATCAACTTTTACCACTGTAATTTCAATTTTATTGTTTTCTTATTTAGGGTTTAAGGCTATTATACTTCTTTTTTTTTTTTTTTTGTTATAGGCAGTAGAAACCAGTCCATGATTTAACAACTCACATAAGTCCCCCTTTCAGTGGCAAAGTTATAGAGACTTTATTTCTTTCTCTTTTTTTTTTTAATATGCGTGGTAAAAATATGTCCGGTTTAGTGTGTTTGTACTTCGTTAAAGACCATGAATAGGGGGCTATGCCATTTCCTTGAAAGTATATGGTATACTTTGCATAGGCTAGACCAAAAAAAAAAAATTGATGATAAACAAGATAAAGATGAGAGACAGAATGATTTAAAATTCAGGAGGAAAAGTACTGGTGTTGGTAGAAATAAAGGGCACTAGTGGAGAAGAATATGGCCTTTAATTCACCCAAATAACCACCGAGCTCTCGTTAATAGAATCATAGATTAAAGTTAATTGAAGATAGTTCATATCGTAATTCATACGGCTAACTTGCTACCCTGTACATGAATAGCGAAAGAGTTGAAATTTTAGTCTCCAAACACGGCTGCATGGAGAAAACATGCCCTTGTATTGCTGGATTCCAAAACAATGAAGGACTCCCCCTCAAAAAATGAAATCAGTTCCACTTTTGATCAATTAAGACACTGTTTCAATTCAAATTATACACAGTCGAAGGTAGACATCTGAGGTTGATGTAGCAAAAGGAAAAGGATAGACATGACAAGGCCTTTCATGTTCATAACTTTTGAAAATTCAACAAAGATAAAGTGCATGGCAGCTTAATAAGCAATAAAAGGAGAAAAAAAGTGACCAAAAAAAGAAAGTTTCTCTTTTTGTTATTTAAATACGAATCAATTAAAACATTGTAAAAAGATATTTTCCATGAATTCGCTAAATCAAATGTGAATAAGCCTGTTTGAATCGGTCAGAAAGAGAATGTATCAATCGAAATCCAAGAGCTCTTAGTCCAGAATCCTTTTACAGCTAAATAATAAAAAAGAAAAAAAGTTGTGGTGGTGGCTAAGTGCTTGGGTTCCAACATCATTTTTTTTCCCCATTAAAGCAACTCCATGTAGTATTTCAAACCTGCTCCCCTTTGTGACTTTTCAGTAGAAAGATAATGGAAAAGGTGATTCATAAAATACATTATGTTTTCCGTTTATGAAGGAGAGAATTCGTGAAACTTTGTTGTGTTATGAACAAATGCATGGAAAAATCGTGGGGTCAGGATAAAACTTTGGGCCAGGAATTTGAATAGGGGATAGACTCAATTAAACATCTTTTTTAATCATGTAAGGGTTCACGGGGCTATGATTATTGATTCCTCATCTTTCAGCTTATCCTTTGTTTCTATTGTTATTAGAATAATTATATATTATACATGGGTAATGAAATTTTTTAAATTACCACTGTCTATTAGACTATAATTAATGGATCTAATCATACTAAATAAACGCCTAACAATCTTATAAATTTGCTCGTAAATTTTAAATTTTAATTTATTCATTCAATCATCTTTAATTTGTAATTTCTTCCCTATTTCAGTCTTCTTTGCAAAAAAAAAAAAAGTATAAAGTAGAAGAAGACTAGGGATAAAGAGTCAAAGCTTTAAAAATAAAGTTACCACCACTACATGCAAATGCTATCATGTGATCTTTATATGCCACCTACCAGAAAGACAGAAATTTCTGGAGTACACATGGCCCTGATTTTTTTTTTCTTTTGTCTTCTTTTTCCTAAATAAAGAGATGAGGAAAAGGAGCTTTTACTTTAATCTTGCAAAAGTGGTAATGATTTATGTTTGGCCAGGTTATAAATGCCATTTCATACCCCTTTTTTTAACTAAAGATGAAGATTGTAGCTTCCGTTTACTCAGCCCAGTCTTGAGAACAACGGCTGATTGGCAGAGACAATTGGGTTATGGGCCAGAAATGTTCCAACAATCGCAACGACTAACCCATGGTCCATTGTTGAAGTGCATTTTTTTTTTCCCAATTCGGATCATTTGCGTTTTGTAAACTCTGACAGCATATGTTTTCCGGCCAGTACACTGACCGAAAGTCAGTAGTTCGGAACCTGGACTCACCCCAGACACTTGTTGGCTTGCCTGCTTCGACTTACAATAAGGAGCAATTCCCAAGGGACAAGGGTAAAAACAAATTCCACCAAGGTGAAGAGAAAGGGGGGGTGGGGTGCACGGCCGAGGAAGCCTGTAATAGCAAGAGAGGCCAGTATCGGCAGGGCATTATTGCAGCAAATCATCCAGGCAGACAGGCTCACTAGAAGCAAGGATTTTAACAAATTAATTCCTTTCAACTGAGCTGGACTCCCATTCATTTGATAGAGCCAAATTACCAATGAGTAACATCGGAAAATACTTTCGAGGGAAGACAGATTTCGGGAGAGGCTCAAGCCTCAAATATTCCACTGTGCAGGATAAAGGAGAGTTGGGTTTGGTTTAGCTTTTGATAGATACAGAATTAAAAATGAAATAGGTGTTTCCTAATTTACAAACCATTTATCTATTTATTACATGAATTTTAACCATGCCCCCATTTGCCACATTGGCTCACATCTAGGAACCCATGGCAAAGGGTTTTGGTAAAACAAGACAGAGCTTTACTCCTTATTCCTAGAAACTTCAGTTATCAGTAGAATGTGTAACCATAGTGTATCTCACCTAGTCATTTCCTGACAAAGGAAACCCCCTTCTGAATGCTAGCTGCTAGTTCTTTCTTTGCCTTCTCCAAGCCAATCCTATTGATCATCATTAGGATTTTTATGTTAAATTTGAATTAAATGTGAGACAAAGGAATTATTTGATTTAAATTCATAAGGTCTCTAACAAGAAAAATTACAAACCTCTCAAACTCATTTAGTGGGCCAAGAGGGTATACTTCCTCAACTCCGAACCGACCAAGTTTTACCTTGGATGCAAAGAAGGGTAATTCTGTCACCTAGAAAAAGGAAAAGGAAAATTATTACTAGTAGTTACTATAAACCTAAAATAAGAAAATAAAAAAAAAGAGAGGGGCAGGAAGAAATAGGGAGAGCTATTAATGCAAATGAGGACTTGGATAACATACATGAGAGGCCACGAATGCACATTCAACAACGCTAGCATCTCCTCTTAAGCCTCGGAGACATGCATCAGCAAATTTAACCGCAGCATATGCCTGCACTTTCCATTATGTTTCTTAGTATACATTCAGAACCACGTAAATTCATGTCTAACATAAGGAACAAACAAAATATGTGATTCGTTATTGTGTGTGTGTGTGTGTGTGTGAGAGAGAGAGAGAGAGAGAGAGAGAGAGAGAGAGAAGACTGAATATATATATATATATATATGACTAACCATTGATAATGTTGCAGATCCAGTACCAGCCTTTGCCTGCAAGAATTTACACAGAACAATCACTCACCAGACTTTCAGCATGCATACATCACAAAGGCAACAGAATGCCAGAACAAATAAAATCAGTTTTCGGAACCCAACGATTGATTCTACATGCTAACATAAACAATTTAACTGGATAACTTCAGCAATGCAAAACCAAGAGACCGAGTAACACAGTCGGCTTGGTTATTTCTTAAACTTAATCAACATGCGGTCCATGAATCTTAGTGTAGTATCAGAGTATCTTAGAAGAAATGCTGTACAAGTGCAAAATGTGGTGCGCTCAACATTTTGTCTTATCCTTGGTATCCGTTAACATAGTGAGGAATATTGTGACTACTAATAATAAGTTATGATGCCATAAAGAAAATTAAAAATGCAAAGCTCTCTCCATTCAACATCGTTGTTAAATCCAGGCCACGGATTAGATGATGTGGCTAGGTTTTTTTTGTATGACACTGAAATTTTTAAAGCCAGCTGCATTATGTCAAACAGAGCTGAATCCCCAGATTCATCTTTTTACCAGATAATTTCAAAATAATTCTTCATGAATAACAGGATCTTGTCTTAATTAAAAATCCTACACAGTTGCCATTTTAGACCTTTTCATTTCCGCTTGATCTATGTTGTTAAAAAAGAAGAGTCTCTTCTACCCCATGGCATCTCTTTTTTCTCAACCCCAGGCTGCAACTAGTACTGTTTCTATAGATCAAGCAATTTATAGAATTCTATAACTTGTCTAATACAATCATACTTATTAAGAAAGGGAAATGCACATGGTCCAAGAAAAATGGCCTAAAGGTTACAATGCTCTGCAGTCAACCCTCCTATATCTTGAAATGCTAATTATAAGATGTGTTATATATTTTAAGAACACTTTTTGTGTTAGGAAAATCGAGCATACATAGATTTGATTACTTTTAGTTCACCATGGGGTTTCATGCTATCCAAGTTCTCAGTCTAGATATCAAAAGAAAATATGCTTTACCTCAACGACCTCTGTACCACCATTCTGGATGCGATCTGTCAGATAATCTATTTCTTTTTGGGTGAAAGAGCATGGAGGTGTAACCTGCATAAGGGGAACAATGATAATTAGATAGAATGTCATATCCAAACAATTAGTGAGCAAGTAATCGTTTGAAAACAAGCTCTAACCTGAGATAGAAGAGGTAATATAGTAACCCCTGCATGTCCCCCGACAACTGGAACATCAACCTCCCGTGGATCAAGACCCAACACTTCAGCCTATAAGGAAACCAAAATAATGGGGGCAATAATTATGAGTGAATATAAGACCCAAACATTGATAACAGTTAAGTTGCAAAGATGTATCTTCATCACAAATAAAACATATATTCCATTACAGTTCTATACCATACAAAAATGATGATAAAGAAACCTATCCAACATTGTCTAACAATTTCCAGCATCAGCTAATCAACATTGAAGATTTGTGATTACCACAAAAGTTATGGTTCGAACTACATCAAGCAAAATGATGAAGAAAGAAACATATCCAACATTGTCTAAACAAAAACCAAAGTTCGCTAATCAAGTAATCAACAATAAAGAAGAATAAATCAATGGCAAGATTAGTAGTTACCACAAAAGTATTTGCTCTGACAACATCAAGCATTGTGACTCCCAGAAGTCGCTTTGGATCAAAGGTGCCAGCTTTCTTGAAAACTTCTGCGGCGATCGGCACAGTGGAATTAACAGGATTACTAATCAAATTGACAATAGCTTTGGGACAGCACTTTGATATTCCTTCACAAAGAGTCTTAACAATTCCAGCATTGATGTTGAAAAGATCATCCCTTGTCATTCCAGGTTTCCTAGGAACACCAGCTGGAATAATTACAAGGTCCATTCCTGTTAGAGCCTCCTCCAATTGCTGTTGCCCCAGAAATCCACGTACCTAAAGATCGACAACATTATTTTAGAATTCTTAACAAGAACATCCAATAAAGCTTGAAACCTTCAATTAGAATTTTACATTGAATGTACAACTCTTTCTCCAGCATTCTCAAACTTAATATATGTCAAAAGAAGATTTAATAAAAAAAAAATAGGTTCTATTCAGTAAATCGAAGTGCAAAATCAAGTATAAAACTTGGGGGAAAAAGTTGTCCACTTCACTTCCTATTGATTTCAAGGTTTAACTTTTATGCTTTGATATTTTAACTGCAACTTATCATAATTCTCTCCCAATTCCTAACCAAAACATCAAATTCAGTCAAACAAAAACCCTAAAATACTTTCAGTCTAGTAATTACACCACCAATAAAAACAACTTTTATGGAATTCAAAAGCCAAAAAAAAAAAAAGGATATTCTTATGTAGGGGAAGCATTAAAATTAACATACCACAGCTCCAGTGTCCATGTGGCTGATATCAGCCGTAACACCAGGGGTATTAACCACATCATAAAGATGAAGAACAGAAACCAAAGGGTTCATCTTCATCAACATTGTTAATGGCTGCCCTATTCCTCCTGCAGCTCCCAAAATTGCCACCTTAAACCCAGCTGACCCACCTTTGGCTCGGCAGTTGGCTCGGCCCAAACCTGAACTACCCTCCATCTGGAAATTATTGGGAGGGTTGAGATGGCCTGAGATTGTTGCAATACGTTTGTTGACTTGAGAATTATTAGGCTGCATGTCTTTGTTTTTCCTTGGTTTGATCAAAAGTTCCCTGTCTTAGAAGGTGTGTAGTTGAAAGGGAGATGGGATTTGGAGATTTGTTGTGAATTTATAGAGAAACAATGGTATGGGAAAGCTTGAGGCTGGTGGTGAAGATGGTAACGTGAAGAGATTTGTTTGTTTTTGTTGCAGAATTCCGAAGCGTGGAAACTGATCTAATCTTCAACTGGACTTTCCAGAAAATTAATAGTTGTGGGTTTCGATGCCACGCATTACTTGGAAAACTCTGATAAAACTGCTGCCTCCGCCCCAATCTCTCTACTGTTCCAAATTCCAATGTTGCCATTGTAATTTTTTTTTTGTCGGAGGATTTTTTTTTCTAAATAAAATTACTAGTAGTTTTACATCCTGTCATAAACAAAAAAAAATATATCTTAATTTTCTTTTTTTTTTTTTTTTTTTATTAAATACCCCTAACAGAGACAATAAAACCATTTGATTCGATTTGATTTTGACAAAAATTAATTAATAAATAACATTATAACTTTTCAAAAAACGAATTGAATAAATTTAAAAATAAAAATCGAATTGATTTATTATTTTTCAAATTTAAAAATTTTAATTTTTAAACAATTTTCAATTTGTAAAATTTGAAAATTTTTAGCTTATGAATAAAAAATACACATTTTTATGAGTTGGATTTCGATTTTTCTCAAATTTTTCTTAGCTCTATTTACTTTACTCTTATACATATATATATGTTTGTATTTTTCCTATATTTATCTTTTTGAATAATGCAACACCGAAAATTGTAATTACTTTAATTTTTTCATAATTGAATAATAATAAAAATACTTATTCTTTTATTTAAAAACTAGAATTCAAATATTTTTAAAATGAAATTAATATAATTTTGTTACGATTAAGAAAACCTCACACACACTCATTGATCAAATGGATTCCTAAAAGTGATGTCAAGTTTCAACCATCTAACACGTTGCAATTATTTAAATCAATCACGTGAATCACATTTTATAATTTTGAATTTTGATAAAAAAAAAAAAAAAGGTGATAATTTAGTCAGAAGAATTTGTCTCTTCTTGAGCATCCATGGTTGGAGAGTAGCTCCAATTAAGCCCACTTTTTCAAGGGAACAAACAGAGGCCCATAACTTCTAGTCAATCTAGCCCATGACCATGAGTTTCTCCGATTTACTGAGCTGACCCACATTTTTCCTTGACCCAATGAGCTTAGCTCATTCAGGTAACCACATTTCTCAATAGCTTTGGATTCCAAACCTTTTTGAAACCCAACATATCATTTATAATTATTGCATTAAAATTAATTAGAATCTTAAACGTATTGAATTTTATCTTTTATTAGTAATTATATGAATTGATTAATTTAATTTTTCGATACTTTTATGTACATAAAGTTGCAATATTGTTGGGCAGCTAGCAATTGATTCCTCAAGTCTAAGCACAGTAAATTTCAATTTTCAGCTAATTATTTCCACTATACTTAGCACCATAAACACATTTTTGGGTCGGCATTTCTGATCCCAAACGTAATAATTACAGGAGAAAAAAAGGGCTTCTAGAAAAGGTAATGTCGTTTTCCGGCTGCAATATCATGAATTTGGAGAAGGTTTTTGATGATGGCTTCCTTTGAGTGAAGAGAATCATTGACGTCTAAGGCACAGCACCAGAATGAATATCCCTCATCATTATCAAAGAGGGTGACTAACTGGTTGTCTTAATGTTGGGACATTTTTACTATATACAAATATTAAGTAACAAATATAATAATTAATATCAGATTTAGATTAATTAGAATTTCTTTTCCTTTATCTAATGTTTTTTTTATAAAAAAGTCATACTATGATTGCATCAACCAACTTAAATAAATTTTGAATTATTTTTTAATACAATCTTAATCATATTAATATGCATAAAACAAAATATTGATGTGTATTAATCCTTTATTGTAACAATGTTTTAAACAAAATTTTTTTTATATTTATTTTTTGGGATGAAGCATAAAGGCAAGAACATCATAATGAAACTGAGAAACTTAATTGTCATTTTACTTGGAATCCAAGGAAATAGAATATAATAATACTATATAAAGTATAAAGTTATAAATTGATTTGGGCATTGTTGCATCATCCCATCCCAAATCCTTTTCCCATCCTTTTCAACCCTTTGCTGGCTAATTCTTCTTTAGTAAATTAATGTTGGAAATGGGAAATTAATTTGGTTTTTATTTTAATGGTTTTTGGTTTTCTTTTCCCTTATCAACTAGCTAAAAAGGTAGTTCATATTGCTTTCAAGACATAGTTATAATTTCAAGTTTATTCCCTAACTTAATTGCTATTTACTAGGAAAAAAAGGATAATTTATAAACCTGATAATTTTAAACTCAAGATGGTAATACAACACGAAAATGATATAAATAAAATATATGAAAATAATATAATTTAAAATTTTAACAAAAAATATAAATAAATTTAATAAAATAAAAAATATATTTTATATTTTTATGTCAAAACGAATTATAATACTTAATTTTCGAATAAAACACGATACATATATATAAATTTTTAATATTTTATATAAAATAAATATACGAATTATCAAATCTAATAATTTGACGTAAAAATAAAGACTTGAAACCTTTGAATCCATTTATTTTTGTCAAAGTTGAAATCATGAGGCATAAATGACCAAAATGCGAACTATCATGGAAGTTGGATTAAGTCACCATTACAAATCATAAATCCTTGTTACTATTATTATCTTTCTATGTTGTGTTTTTTGTAAGACTACTATTAATTTTGGGTCGTTGCCTTACTAAGACATAAAAAAGGACAACATAATTTTATGGTTTTCCAAGTCAATCCATTTAGAAATCGATTGGAAAGAAATGAAAAACATATATACCATCCTAGAGTTGATGAAAAATCAAACAAAACTTAACCTAAATATATTTGTATATACCTTTCAGTTCAAAGATAAAATTAATTTTAATGAAATTAAAAATAATAATTATTATTATTATAATTATAATTAAAATTTTATTATAATTAAAATAAAAAAATTTATATTAAATAAATCTCATTAAAATTTATATTTAAATTCAATCATTAGTAAAATGAGCTCAACTGTACCAAATTAAAGACGACTTGGAATCCAAACTCCCACTTTGTGCATCAGTATGGTGTGACCCCATAAAATAATTAGCAAATTGAATGAGACAATGAAAGAGAGTTTCTTGTGTCTAACCAGAAAAATGGACCAAAGGGTAAGTTGAAAGGACTCTTTCACCGGCCACCTAAAGCCAACAATCCCAAAAACAATTGCTTTGGCTCCCCAAGAAACAAAAGTTTATTACCCTGCATGCATAAAATGGCTTCTTCTCCTTCGGAGCAGCTGGGTCCCTCTTTATATCTGTCTTCTCTCAAACCTGTTTTTCTCTTTGAGGGAGAACTGCAAGGAAGGGATTTTCTTTTGGTGGGGTTGGGGGAGGGGGGCTGGAAGGAAAAAAAATCAGAAAATGGCTCAAGAGGACAAGCAACTCTCAGCTTTCTCAACCACTCATTTCTCTATTTGGGGATTGATGAGACCAAATTACCCTTGCCTGGCAGCGTTGCCCTTCCTTTCATCCCCATGTAATTCCAAAGGTCATAATTGGGAAAACTGGGATTAAGCTTGAAGAGTGCAAATGTAAACTCTTTTCTCTCTCTTTCTTTGTCTATCCCATTACAACAATAACATTCCTTCATAGAATACGAAAAGAAGGCAGACAGGATGGAGCCAGGCAATTCAAGTAGTTATGGTTTTCTGTGCTTTGTTTTAGATCATTCTCATCATACTATATACTCCTTTTGGTTAAATTTTTGTTAAGTACTACTTTCCAAGAAAAAGGAAGAGCAACAACAGGTCTTCTGGAGCACATATTTATACAATTATATATGAAGAAATCATCTGCTTATCTATGTATCTGATCTGCATGAAAATCTGGCTTTTTTCATGTTATTATGAAGATAATGATGATGGTGATGTTGCATTTCCTTCCCCTTTTTTCAATAGCTTGTATTTATTTTCATGCATATAAATATCGCAGATCCTTTTTTATATCTTTGCTATTTGCTTTTCTTTTCCTTTCCTGGTTATATTAATTGAGAAAGTTATATATTTTGATCTCCAGATGATTAGTAAGATCAATTGTTCTAATTTTCAGGATTGCCCATTTTCTTGCTGTAGCTTTTAATATGTCAAAGACAATATATATATATATATATATATATATACATATCCATCTGACTATATATCCGACTTTGTGACTTTTACTGAGAATTGCATTCTTCAGTTTGCAGGATTTTGATTTTTAATCTGACAAAATTAATCTGATCGATCTTTAGGATCATTAAAGTCTGGGGTCTGAGTACTGTTACACTGATTTTTTTTTTCATTTTTTAAAGAAAAAATTGAGATTAGTTTGCGTGTACTTCTGTCATATGACATGCAGGAAAATTAGTATTTGTATTTCATATTTCTTCTCTCCCAATTATCCATCCCCTTCCCAGCCAGTAGGCAAGTTTTCTTGAGCTAGAGTGCTGTTTTGGTTGACATTAAGAAGTCTACTTTGAAGCTTTTTTGGTATCATATCCAAGCTTGTAAATTTGGGTTTTTGGATATATATTTTTGAGATCTAAAAGCTCAATTATTTCTTGGGTGAATTAAGTTGCTATGTATTATCTGCTTGTTTCCTCACCATATTTTCAATGGCCTTTGCTTTTGGGATGTTGTTTGTCTCATATACCTTGCACTCAACCTGAAATGCCTAGCATATTGGAAAAAGGGAAAGAAAAGAAGAAAAAAGTAACTCAATTAAGATAGCACATCTTTTTGATGAATGTCACAAATTGCATGAAAAATTATTAAACTTTTATTCAATTTCTAAATAAATCATTGAACTTTAATTTGAACTACAAGATCACTAAAATTTGTTAAGTGTATCAATTTCATTCAAAATAAAAGTTAGATAAAATTTAAATATTGAATTCGACTAAATAATATCTAGATTTTTTATATAACCAAAAATCCTATCATACCTTACAGAAAATCAAAATAAAAAAATTTAAGTAAACCCAAAATTGACAGTCATTTAATGAATATTTATTTTTCTAAAATATTACTGCTTTTATTTAAATTAAAGATCATAAATATTTAAATAAAAAGGTAAAATCCTTACAATTTAGTTAAAGCATTATTTATTAAATGTTACTATTTT